TCTTCTTTACCTCCTAATACTATCCAAGATATTACAACTATTCTGTCAGACCAACCAGTACACCAAATAGAATCCTTACCTCCCAGACCAAGAAAACCACCACACTGGATGGGTGGCTACTTATGTCATACTGCTGTAAAAAAGGTTACTACTGCCCACTGGTGCAACCTTGTTAAATTTAACAAGGTATCTAAGGGTCACAAGGCTTTTGTTGCTACATGTTCTGCCTTGACAGAACCCAAGTCCTACAGTTAAGCAAAATCTGATCCTAACTGGGTGTCTGCTATGCAAAAAGAGTTGGATGCTCTTATGGTTAATAACACTTGGGAGCTAGTGGATCTTCCTCCTAACAAAAAGCCAATTGGGTGCAAGTGGGTTTACAAAATCAAACTGAGAGAAAATGGCACAATTGAAAGATACAAGGCTAGATTAGTGGCAAAGGGTTATACACAGAAATATGGTGTAGATTATGAAGAGACTTTCTCTCCTGTTGTTAAAATGGAAACAGTTAGAGCAGTCATTGCCTTAGCAGCTTGCAGGGGTTGGAGTTTGTTTCAGTTGGATGTGAATAATGCCTTCCTCCATGGTGATCTGCATGAGGAGGTTTATATGAGAATACCTGAGGGATTAGATGTTGTTGATGGGAAAGTATGCAGGCTTACAAAGTCCCTTTATGGTCTAAAACAGGCATCAAGGCAATGGTTCGCCAAATTACATGAAGAACTGCAAAAGCAAGGGTTTGTTCAGTGCAAAAGTGATGCTTCCTTGTTTATGAAGAAGATTGATTGCAAAATCACAATAGCTGCAATATATGTTGATGATATTATATTGACTGGCAATGATCAGTCAACTATTCAAAATCTTAAGCAGCACTTACATGATACTTTTAGTATCAAGGATTTGGGAAAACTCAACTATTTTTTGGGCATAGAAGTTGGATATCAGGAAGATGGTATTGTTCTCTCACAGAAAAAGTTTACAAAGGAGCTACTTACAGAATGTGGTCTGTATGAGTTCAAGCCTATTGTCACTCCTCTGCCAGTGAATCTGAAGCTTCAAGCATCTGAAGGCACCCTTCTTTCTGATCCCTCCTTATACAGAAGCCTGGTTGGCAAGTTAAATTTCTTGACAAATACAAGACCAGATTTGTCATACACTGTTCAGACTCTGAGTCAATTCATGCAGAAACTAAGAACTTCACACCTCTCAGCTTTGCATCATACTCTGAATTATGTTTCTGCTACAGCTGGCCAAGGGATATTACTCAGAGCTGGTGATCAAATTAAACTTCAAGCTTTCTCTGATTCTAATTGGGCTGCTTGCCCTGATTCAAGAAGGTCAGTTACTGGTTATGTGCTTCAACTTGGACAGTCACCCATCAGCTGGAAATCCAAGAAACAACCCACTGTGTCAAAGTCTTCTTCAGAATCTGAGTATAGGGCTATGGAAAGTGCATCTGCTGAAGTGACATGGATGGTGAGATTACTCACAGAACTTGGGGTGTCAAATTTACTTCCCGTGGTTCTGCATTGTGACAACCAGTTAGCAATTCACATTGCTAAGAACCCAGTCTTCCATGAGAGGACTAAACATATTGATATAGATTGCCATTTTACCAGGGAAAAGATCTTAGAAGGTTTGATTCAACTTACATACCTTCCCACCTCTTCTCAACTTGCTGATGTTCTGACTAAAGTGCTTCCTTCTGCTCAGTTTAAGGATCTGCTATCCAAACTAGGCATGACACAGTCCCTGCCTAGTTTGAGGGGGGTGTTGAGTAATGCTCTAAGTCAGCAAAAAGTCAAAGTTGTTACAACAACTTTTGCCACGTCAGAATGCAGTTGGAAGGGTAACAAAAGTTTGTTACAAGTTTTCCACCTCAGCTTATTTTAATAAATGCTAGCTATAAATAGCTATGCAACTTGTACTGCTATTCATTCATTCATTTTCAACTCTCTTAAATTCTCTCTGTAATTTTCCTTTCTCTAGTTTTTCTTCTTCTTTCTTATTTTGTAAGAACCTTTTTCCTCCATTAATAAGAAGCTTAGTTCTAGGTCCTGAGCTGAACTTCTACGGATGCAGCAGTGATGGCAGAAAATCAAGATGTCATGTTCTACTGTTTTACTTAGTTCTATTCTGCTACTTAGTTCTTGCTGCGAATTTAACACATGTATTGCACAATTGCACTCAATCCTCGTTAAATTGACAATATTATGCATTTATATTGAAGTTGGATATGTAATATGTATGGGCGTATGGCCTGAGGTATACGCCCGAGGTGGCTTATGAGTTATGACATGACATGATAAAACATGAAGAAATCATGTTATGTATTGTGTGTGTTTAGAGATGTCAATAAGGCGGGTAGGGCGGATGTTGGTCTTCCTATTCCCAATTCCATCTAATATTTCATCCCCATTCTCATCCCCATCCCCGTAACGAATTCAAAATTCAACCAAAATCCAAAACCATTCCTGTTCCACCCCCCACCTAATTCCCACTCAAGATCCGTCTAATCCCCGTCTCCCAAATACACAATCCTACATAATTACTATAAATTATAATAAAAAATATATATATATATATATCTTTGTTAATATTACACACCTTTTTGTTTTATAATATAAATGTACTACAAAGTATTATATTTATTATTTTTATTTTACATAAATTTTTTCATAAAGGTGGGTATGGGGCGGGGTTGAAGTGGGTTGAGTCAGACAGGTACAACCTAAAATCCACCCCTTCGGCTACCCCATCACCCATGACGGGTATGGTTTTTATCCTCATCCCCGCCTCACCACCCGCTAAGCTAAGACCCATTTGAACCCCATTAAGGCGGGGAATGGAGCTATGGGGGGTCTCCTGCTTGATCCGCCCAACTGACATCCCTACCATGTGTTAAGCCAAGTCGGGCCTAGGCCACTTTCTTTTTTCTCTGTTGAGAAATGCAACAAGGCATAGTCTAACATGAAAAATCACACTAAAATAACTAAGTGGATTCATTCATGGGTTAGACCCTAGCCAAGTCCAAGCCATGTGAGATTGACTCGACACAACTCACAACCATCTTTGGTTTTGTTGTTAAATGTTACTCATTATAAATAATTGCTCTTTTGTAAATTGAGTGTACCTAGCTAGAGACTGCAAATTAAAAATCTTTATTTTACATCACGTGTTTTACCATCCATTATAAGACAAATTGCACAAATATTTGTTTTTTCTTTTGCATTCAAATTCTAAAAATCATTCATTAATATTTAATTTGCTCGTTAATTCATCTAATTTTAAAGAATTACCCACTAATTTTCATGATTTTCTCCAAACCTCTCAAGTGTAGACAATAACATCGAAAGTTTAAATTTATTAATTAGAAGGTTACGTCAACCCTAAATAGAGGAGAAACACGTATTGAGGATTTTTATGAACTTTAAATAAAAACACAATTAGAGAATGTATGTAATTTAGGATTTGAGGTTTACAATTTACATACCCGGAAACTTCTAATGACTGGCCTGTTGATAAGCTCAAGTCGTTTTTTTACCATAAATTTCTCATCTTCAAATAATGTTGCTTCTAAATATTGTACCAAATTCATGGCTAATAGTACCACAACCAACAAAATCAGTTGAGTTTTCTCCATGGGAGTATCAAAGTAACAACTAAAATAACAAAGTCAAAAATCAATGAATTGAATTTGACTTTGTTTTTAATTTTATGAGCAATATCTGGTTTCATATAACATATGGTGACGATGATATATATTATGGCCATCTTCTATGGTAAAAAAAATGATATTATATGTAAGCCAGCTCATTATTTTAGAATTTTTATGTATCCTTCTTAAATGCTTTGTAAACTTTATTAGGAAGTATATTGATTTGTTGCCATATGTATTTGACTGACATAATTTGTTCCTTTTATTAAGATTTTTTTCCTTTATGATGAACTGGTACTCCCTATATATTCATGAAAGATTATTACGTTTTGGCAATTTTACGTCATTGTTAAGGAAAATAAAATAGTAAAAAGTAATAAATAATACTCCGTAATTCACTGACAAATAGCGTAACAAGTACTCCATATTAAATATTAATGCAATTTTTTAAATTTTTTTTTTAAAAAAACAATATTAATGGATTATTAAGGCAGGGAAATAAGTTTTGCTTCAAAAAAAAAAGGCAGGGAAATAAAAATATTTATGTGTTTTTTTTTTTTTTTTGATGGGGAATAAGAATATTTATGTTGGAAGTAGGTACGAAGTAAATATTTTTGTAAATAAAAACTCCTTTGTTACTCCCTCCGTCCCAAAAAGAACGACCCATTTGGCCAAAATTTTGTCCCAAAAAGAATGACCCATTTGCATTAAAACACCACCAATTTACAATATTTGTGCAAAATTAGTTTCCCCATATAAAAATTTCATTTTCCATGTTATTTTATTACTTTCTCTCTCTATTTTTTTACAAACCCCATGTAAATTTATCTTTCCAATATACTTTTACTTCTTTTTACTTAACTTCCTTAATACCCGCGTAATCAACCCAAATGGGCCGTTCCTTTTGGGACGGAGGGAGTAGAAGGTAAAGTTTTTGGTACTCCTTAAATGAAATTGCATTGGAAATTGTGTAAAAAACATTTTAATCTATCTAGCTAGAAAATTGTTACTCCGTAAAACATAACTTAGACTCTGTTCACTTCTCCTAAAAAAAATAATATTCAATAAAAATAATTTCAGTTCAGTAAAAATCAGTAACTTAGAAGAAGGAATATAATAGAAATTCAGTAAAAAAAAAAAATTTAATTCAGTAAAATTAATATTAAAAATAATTTCAATTCAGTAAAAATAATTTCAATTCACTATAAATAAGGTAAAGTGAACGAGACCTTACTGATTTTATCTGAACTATAATTATTTTCACTGAACTGAAATTAATTTTACCGAATTGAATCCATTTCAAATTCCATTCATTTACTTCCAATTATCAATTTATCTTTATTTAGACCCAAACTCAATCAAATAAAGCTTAAGTTTGTAATTAAATCCAATGGGTAATTAAATCATCAATAGACCATGTAGACATGTAGTTGTCACATGAAACTTCAATATTTTAACTGGAGACAAAATTCGGATCACACACTAATTTTATATATTCTCCAAAAACGTCATTAAACCTTGTTTAACTTTGCCACCCAAAAAAAAAAGTACTAATTTCATACTTCAAAGGTTCAAATTAAGTTATACTTTTACAATTTGGTGGTCCACCAAAGAGCATAAAATGTCCAAATTGACCACCAGAATCTCCACCATATTTCACCTTATAACAATCAGGCTTACTTACACCCATTTTGAGGTCTTCTTCTGCAGGAGGTTTCTCCGTACCAACCAAGCTTAGTCCATATATTACACAAGCCTTGTTAGGTCCTTCCTCTGGGAAATGGCCACTTCCCATCCCCGGAGCCGCCTCCTTCGGCGAGGTATAAATCTCTCCTCCCCAACCTGCTCTTGTTGCCCCGTCCCCTAGGGTGCCAAATAGCTCCTTCGGCCAATATCCTACTCCTTCATCCCCGAAAAATAGCCACCAATTCTTTGTTTTTAGTTCCTGTACGTGTCAATAATGATACGATTGTTATTTTCCAAATAATAGGTCACATTTGATTCTATTATTTTTTAACCAGTACTCATACTTGGAAATTATTAAAGATAGTTTTAGTGTTAAATTACAATGTATCATATGACAATTAAAATTAAATTACCTGTTTGATGGAAATATTGATAAAACGTTGTTCACCTTGGTAAGTTGATACCGGCTGTAGAGCTAGGCCAGGAGTAACCTTTTGACTAACTTGTACAAATCCTGGACATAGTCCGTCGTAACAACCTGTGTTCTTTCCGGAGTCTTTCTACAAAATTTGAAATCAGTGAACAAATTACGATACTTAGTTTGAAAAAAACATCATTGTTAGTTATCGGAAATCGGAATGGAAAAATCCCTGTTTCTCATGATGAGAAACGAAATTTGTTTCTCATGGGGGCATTTTCGTGAATAAATCAACAACTTTTTCATTATTGTGGGCTCCACATTTGAATAAATTTGTTGATTTATTTACGAAAATGTCATGTGAGAAACAAAATTTGTTTCTCACCACGAGAAATTGGGGTACCCTCGATTGGAATACTTACGGTCCAGTACGCATAAAACCGAGTATTATTTTGGCCAAATACACTAGGATTCACCTGAAATGTTTAAGTTGAGACAAAGATTAGGGAAAAAAAACCATAAAAACTCTTGAAGTGAGACGAAATTACAATAACTTATCGTGAGATATTAAAAGTGATTGACCAAACAAGTAAGGAGTATATATATATTTACCACCCAGCCGGCTGATACACCGTTAACACCGGAAACATCATCACTAGCAACAAAAACCGAAGCAACTGTTAGTTGATCCTGTGTAACCTCAGGATTCCACACGTTAATTACTCCATTTGCTCCTAAGTTTTTGGTGGCTACTACAAGAGTTGCAATCTGCCAAAAAAACAAGATCAAGAAAGGATTAAAAAATAAGATATGAAATGTCCAATTAAATTGTTTTATCTTTGTACAAGTATATGACATTCTCAACAACAGTATATCTTTATAATAAGCATCTTTTTATATAAACATGTTACATACTTTTTCCCGTTACTAATTAACATTGTATAATTGCATTGTTAATAGCATTATATTTAGTAACGGTTGAATTAGTTTTAACAGTTTTGAATGTAAAAAACAATGAGTATTACTTGTACTATGTTTCAATGCAATTTTAGGGTGTTAACATTAATAAAAACATTATGACATGATTTCACTTACTTGGTGTCCAGGAAGCAAATCATTAGCGTTAAGGGAGACAGACTTGGTGAAATTGGTAGTCGAAAATTTCATTCCGAACAATGGTGAGAATTTCTGCATTGCAAGATCTTCCTCTTGGATCCTTCTAATAGGAACACTTCCTCGTGGACATCTCATATGTTTCGGTAGAACTTGTGAAGGCGTTAATGTCGTTGAAGAACGACGAGTTGATGTTGTTTGTTCAGAGACCATAAAATTTGGTTTCATCTATAGGTAAAATTGAGAAATGAGCAATTATTCGGCCATGTTTGTTCAATTTCTTCAACTCATCGATCTTAATATTACATATAGCTAAAAAAATCTATTTTAATTAGCACGTAACGAAAAATTCCATTAGATCAACAAAAAAAAAATAGTTTCAATCAATAAAAAAATTAATTTTAATAGATTATACATAAATAATCAATCAATAAAATTTTGTCAATAATCAAGTGAAAAAAACACGGCTTTAATGCTCCAATAATGGTAGTCAAAGTAAATTGCAAAAAGTAAACAAACCTGTATTGAGTGATTTTGAAGTAACGGATGGTCAAATGCAAATTGTTTGTTAATGTCCACACAATCCACAATGTCACCATGCTTGGTCTAGTCAATAACAAAATTAAACGCCAAAAAAAACAATCAAAGTCATATTCAAAGAAGTAAAATAAATTCAAAATTAAATCTCATGAGTTATTATTCCTCGCAATAATATAATCCTAATAAATGCATGCTACAATAATTTAGCATATTTATTCTTTGAATAATTATATAACATACCATGAAGCTTTTAATTGATGGCTTGTTGATGAGATGGAGTTGATTTTTAACCATCGATTTTTCATCTTGTGAAGTTGTTGCTTCTAATCCTTGTATCGAATTCGTCACTAACAAAACTAAGATGATCAACAGACTTCCTTCCATGATAATTTGGATCCTCGTTATTGTATCAGAACATATATTAAAACTATCGTAACACTGTCTCCTATCCTGTATATATATATACTGTATATGTATAGAAAATAATTTTTTTTTTTATGAAATAATAAATAAATAAATAAATTTGTTTAATGTTAAAGGAAATAACCGTTTTAAAACAAAAAGAAAAAACACAAAGCTACAATAAACACTAGGAAAAGAAAATGATTTTTATATGTACTGTGGTTGTCCATATGGGGAAATAATAAAAATAATTTTTACATGTGGCAAGCCACATCATGTGCCAGTCATCATAAGTTAATATTCCAGTGTTATAGTGATTATTCGGTGAGTGTTGTTATAGGCATTGTTGTTAGAATCGCGATCCGCATCGTGCGATCCTATGATATAATTTTAGCCAATAAACAATTTGGATCAAATGCAGAATCACATAGCAAGCAGGATCGATGTAGAATCACTTATGGTTGAAGGACCATCTCAACCAAAAGCTTAAGCCGATGGTTGAGGTCCAGGAATATGTTATATACTCTATCATACAGGATTGTGTAGGATTGTGTGCAGGATCAGGTAGGATCATACAGGATCGGGGTAGGATCGTAAAAGATCTGGTAGGATCGGGCGATCCTATTTTTTCACTTCAGTTATTATTGGATTGTACAGGATCAGTCAAGCTAGATCCGATAGGATTGGTCAGAATCATGTAGGATCGGTCAGGGTCGTCGTACGATCCTACATTTTACTTATTAAAATGATCCTAAAGTAATCAAACTTTTCTCTAAGCCAAGAAATTTTTTATCCAACTACTTAAACTATAAATTTTAAAATTTTCATGGCTTAAAAATTGTGTATCTAGTTATGTAGCAACCTTTTATTACTCCTTTTATCATCAATTTCTTAGGATCTTACGATTTCACGATCCGATTTTACCGATTTGATCTTACCTTCCATACCGATTTAATGTGGGATCTCGATCCTGACAACGTAACCTTGGTTACAGGGATTACTCTTCAGTGTTATAAGGTTATTACTTAGCCGGCATTATAATTACATGGGTTACTTGGTCACTGTACTAGTGTACTATAATAAATGTTACTTTGCTCTTTTATAAATGGTCATATGGTGTGGTCATCTGCACTCATATAAGACTCGTTTTTTTATATATAAAAAATAATAAATAAATAAAAATTTATTTATTAAGGCTAAATATCTTTTCAAAATTGGTATTAATTGTGAACAGTGCGTTTCTGGTGCGGCTGGATTAATTTTCTGAATTTTTTTTATTGTTAATGATAATTAGATTATCCAATCTCACGACTTCACGAGACTCAATTCTTAGATCCGTCACTGATAATCAAGTACATTGCATAATTAAAAAAATTGGCAATCACCAACATTCTTAGTTTTATTATTATCATTTGCACCACTCTAATCAAAGAAGGAAACTAAATTTTAATCATGCATACATTATTATTTTGTATTCAGTACTTGCAACCAGCAGGTCCACCAAAATAAATAAAATTCTTCCAATTTGAAGATTCATCATCATCATCCCTATCATGATTATCATTTGTACCAGGAGATGTTCCATGCCAAATATCGTAACATCCTGGCCTAGTCATGTAATATTCAATAGCTTTTTCATCAGGAAAACCTTGTGGTGCTCTTAACTCTAGCCACTTCATAAGGCATGCAACTGAAAAATTTTCCTTAGAGAAACGACCGCTACCCATGGCCGGAGTCGGCTCCGTGATCGGGCTTTTAATTTCTCCTCCCCACCCTGCTTCTGTTGCTCCGTTGGCTAGGCTTGTAAACAACTCCTTCGGCCAATATCCAACGGTTTCTTCTCCGTTTAGGAGAAACCAATTCTTCGTTTTTACGTCCTAAGTACATCGATAGTAAGAAATTATAAACATATAAAGTCGTACGTTACATGTAACATACTAACATGTAACATGTAAGTGACACAATTTTAAGTTAATCAAAAATTGGGATAATTAATACGCGAATAGTTACCTGTTGTATCGAAAGATCTAAGAAATATTGGTGACCTAATCTTGTTGATACCGGACTTAAAGCTTGGCCAAGGGTGACTCTTTGACTAGTTTGTACAAAACCTGGACATAGAGCATTGTTACAACCCGTGCTCTTCCCGCTATCTATCTGAATTTATAATCATAATAGTCGTGTTATCAATTACTTGTGTAATTAATCTAATACAATATAATCATAAAAGTCGTGTTATCAATTACTTGTGTAATTAATCTAATACAATATAATCTGTTGTTATTGATGTATAAAATTAAAGATGATATGAAGAACACGTTATTGATGTATGTATAGCTCAAATATCTTACCGTCCAATATGTGTATAGTGTGGGAGAGTTGAGATTTAGATATGGATTTACCTGTAAAAATTTCATTTCTAGAGATGTAAGTTAATGAGGAAAAACGATAATTTAATGGAACAGAGGGAGTAGTACTTACCGCCCATCCTGCTACTATAGCGTTAACATTAAAACCATCGCCGCTTCTAACATAGAAAGTAGCATCACTAAGTTGGTCTGGTTTCACATCATTTAGGTACCATATGTTTATTTTCCCCGCTGCTCCTGTGTTTGGAGTAGATACCCCTATACTCGCAACCTACAAAGCATTACAATTTGGTTGATTAAATAAACTTATTGTTACTCCGTAGTATTAGGCCCTGTTATATTCACCTTAAAAAAATAATATTAAGTAAAAATAATTTCAGTTAAGTAAAAAGAAGTTCAGTTCAGTAAAATTAATTTCAGTTCATTAAAAATAATTTCAGTTCAGTAAAAATAAGTTCAGTTCAATAAAATTCAGTTTTCTTAAAGAAGAAATATAATAGAAAATCAGTAAAAATAATTTCAGTTCAGCATAAATAATTTCAGTTCAGTAAAATTAATTTAAGTTCAGTAAAAATAATTTAAGTTCAGCAAAAATAATTTAAGTTCAGCAAAAATAATTTTAGTTCAGTAAAAATAATTTTAGTTCAGCAAAATTAAGGTGAAGAGAACAGGGCCGCTGTTAGGCATGATAATGGGTCTTGGGTCGTGTAGGCACATGAACTACCACATAGTATTTCTAATAATATTAGTGGTTCGCAGTAAATTAATGCGAATCAAGTGTATTTAAAATTTTATAAAAAAAAAAAAAAAAAAAAAAAAAAACAGTACTAGCCTATTAGTGCTGCTCGAAACAAGGCATAACGTCTCATTTGGCATGCAGTCATAAATTAAGGGCATTAAAATATGACTGCATGCCAAATGGGTTGTTATGCAGTCATAGTATTGCATAATTGCATGTACTTGTAATAATTTATTACTCCGTCTCCGAAAGAACGACCCATTTAGGTTTATTTCGCGGGTATTAAGAATGTTAAATAAAAAAAAGTAATCGGAAAGATAAATGTACATGCGATTTGTAATTAAGTAGAAAGAGAAAGTAATAAAAGTACATAGAGAAACAAAATTTTATATGGGGAAGCTAATTTTACACACACAAACTCTTAATAACACCCGATTTACACTAAATTAGTGTAAATCGGGCTGAGCTGGGCAACTTCATCACCGAGAAAAATAATTTTAAAGAGAGAGAAAATGATTTAACAGCGAGGTGGTCGTCAATGGAGAGATGATCGAGGATTATGAAGAGGAGTTCTTCGCTGAGGAGGTCGAAAGGGTTAAGTTGTTGTTGTTCTCATGCTTCATCGATTTCGCCATTGAAGGATTGAAGGAGAGAGAAATGGAGGAAAGTAGAGGGAGAAGTACTGTAGTTGCTAATTGTAGAAGAAAAATGGTTGAATTTTGAGGAAAGTGAATACTCCTATGATGGAGGATAATTGTATTGAATTGTATTGTTGGGAAGAAGGTGGTAGGGGCAGATTATAATTGATTTTGCCATTAAAGGAGAGAGAAAATGGAGGAAAATACTTGCTAATTGTAGAAGAAAAGGATAACTTTTTTATTTTGATACTCTGTTTTTTGGAAAAAAAAAAGGTCACTTTTGTAAAAAAAAAAAGGGTCACTTGTGTGTAAAAAAAGGTAACTTTTGTGAAAATATAGGTCACTTTTATTAAAAAAAAAAAAAAAAGTCACTTTTGTAAAAAAAAAAAAAAAAAGGGGCCACTTTTGTGAAAAAAGGGTCACTTTTGTAAAAATATGGGTCACTTTTGTAAAAAAAAAAAAAGGTCACTTTTATAAGAAAAAAGGGTCACTTTTCGTAAAATGTTCGATGTACAATAAAATTATTGTAAACCGGGTGCATGCAAAAGGTTTTGTTTTACACAAATATTATTGCAAATTGGTGGGGATTTTAATGCAAATGGGTCATTCTTTTTGGGAATAAAATTAGGCCAAATGGGTCGTTCTTTCGGGGACGGAGGTAGTAACAAATTTCAATATTATAACTTAATAAGGAAATTTAGATAATTCAATATTATTGCTTGTAATAATTTCATTTATGAACAAATACACATATTTAATTTCAATGAATTTTCTTTGTAATAATTAAGGGCATTATTGCATGTAATAAATAAGAGACTGCATTAAAACACATACTCCTTCCGTCCCTTAATCAGATGTCTACTTCTCTTTATTATGTGAGTAATAAATGGTAGAAATATGCCGTTAATAAATGGATAGAGGGAGTATTTTCAATGAGTTTTCCTTGCAATTGTTGCAAAATTATGACATAATTTGATATTGCATGTAATAACTTTGCAACAATTATTGCAGGGAAAACTCATTGAAAATATGTGTATTTGTTCATAAATTGTCTTTAATACACAATACCAGATGAGCCGTAATTATAAACAAGAAAACTTTGAAATTGGTAAAGATCAATCACCTCATTGACTTGTTGAACATCATTAGGGTGACCAAATTTGGAGGAATTTGAAGTTGAAAACTTGGTGTCATATATCTTTGAGGAAATCTCCATCATAAGATCTTTCTCTTGTA